CTTCTTCTTCTTCTTCTTCTTCTTCTTCTTCTTCTTCTTAATTCCATCGCCAAATTCGTATTACAAATTCGTATTACAAATTCGTATTACAAATGAAGAATTATCTAGTGAGGTATAGACGGATCTACAAGAGTGGAATTGAAGCCATAGATTTGGCTTCAATTCAAAGAGTCTAATACTTCTTTAGCAGTAGGTTATTACCTATCATTAATACTCAACGTCAAGTTGAATCCTAAAGGGATCGTACGCGACGCAGAGATAAAGATCCATTCGCCAATCGATGTCGAGGACCACGATGCCCCGATTCTTCAGAGGGAGTTTCGAATTGAACGGAAGGTGGGTCTACGAGCAGCATGTTGTGATCGTGTAAAGTCTAGATTTCTCGGAAAACCGACCTCTTGAATGGTCTGTTGAAAATGGCTGGAGGCCTCTTTGAAGGTTCTTGGGCAAGCCAGTGTCTGACATTCCGTTTCCCAAGGGTAGGTCTTCAAAGGCATGGGCAAAACGAAGTAGCAAAAAAATGGAGGCTCACCACAAGCGAGCAGTAAGAAAGATGCTTGTTTTGGGGGCATTGAATTTAATGATTCCTATTATTTAGTGTGCCCACTTGAAAAAGTCTGATCTAATTCTATCGTAGTGGTTCACAGCGTGATCCGGTCCAGTTCTCGAAGATTATCCAGGAAGTCCTCGCGATCAGATTTGTTCCACATCAAGAAAATAGACTTGATGCATATTTGAGTAGATCGACTCTTATCGACGCAGACATAGCCGTGACAGCTGCTGTGAAGTAAGGGATATCAACACCGTTAAAAGAACAGCTTTTCCCACGCACGCCGATAGTGAAAGTGCCAAAGTCATCGTGACCGGAAAGGGCCTCGCGAAGTAACACTTCTTTGTTAATTGAACCCAGGACCACAGTGCTGCTGATATTCTTCTCTAGAAAGAGATGGGGGAAATCGACCCGACCCAAGTCTGAACCACCTAGGGTGAGGTTGAAAGTTACGTATCCCTGAATGTGTCAGCCACACATACATCCCAGGATATGGGAAGAACCAACGAACCAGTTCAACGATGAAGGGAATCGGATTGCGCATGGAGATTGTGGCGTTGAAGTCATATCCATCAACTGGCGGAGTCAGGAGTTCCAAGCTGGTGACGTTGAATGCGTCCTTGGAAGTGAGGAAATCTGCAAAATTTAGAAAGGGTCGCTCCCCGGCAATTTAGTCTGGCACGTCTCACCTGTGAGATTGAAACCTAATTCAACATTGTCAGCTTGTGTCATGGACAGATGGGAAAGAGGCTCGCCCACTTTTCACGTTTACGGTTTTGCGAATGTTCAAATGAGCCGTCGGTAAACCACCGTATTTCAAATGGGGTGTGCCTTCAATCACAATGGAAGAGGTCTTGTTCGATGCAACTGTAGAAACCAATCGCGACAGACAGTCGACACAAGTCAAATCCAAATCTTGGTCTAATTCATGTATGGCGCCATTGCCAAATGCAATTCTCGGAACAGGGAAAATTGCAGAAACGTCGGTGTCTTTGAGGCGACAGGTGGCGTTGAATGCATTCAGATGGCCACCACCACTGAATGCACCTCCCATTTGAATGGGTTTCTTTTGTTTAACATGGATGGCAGTGGGCCGGGGGTTGGTAATCTCGAGGCTGTCGTAGTCGAAGTCGTGCTTGTTGATAAAGTTATTCGCGAAGTGAGGAATTCCGACATAAAAGCTGAGAAAGAATTAGTATCAACAGAACACTCTTCCATGAGAAAGCTCACAGTGGGAGAATAATGACTAGGGCAGAAATGCAAAGTGCGATCAAATAAGCCCACCAAAATCTCTTCATATGTGTCTTGCATCGGTTCCATAAGGTCGGCTTTGCTAGGGCCGGTAGCACCTCATCGACCTTGAAGTTACTGGAGATGTTGGGTTTTGACATGCTGGGCGTCACAATGTTGAAAAGTGCCAAAATGGTGTTTTGCTTTCAACCTAGGTCATGGGCGGTGAAATTCAAACCCCGGTGGCAGTATGACAACTACTTTCCCTGCTGTAGTGTGCACTCCGTGGAGGTAGAAGCAGATCGAAATGAGATTCTGATTTCAGGTTTGTTTTGTTATACCCAAGTTTATCAGACCCGCCTTTCATATAACAGATGTGCACGGCACTGGATTCAAAAGACATCTTTGCACGATCTCGGTACCTATCATAATATTTCTTTCGGGAACACCCGTTATTTGATTACAGATTCAACTACCCAGGTTCAGAGTATACAACATAAACAGTAGAAGATGAAGCCACAGTCAAAGTGGCCAATCAAGGGCGTCACTGGAATATGTAAGCAGAACCGAATACGAGGTCAACGTGATCACGGAAGTGATCGGCGGAGACAAGCCTTGTGGATTACAAGCCAAACACATTCTTGTGCAAAAATTGTGCAGAGTTATGCGACTTGCATATCAAACTCTTCCCATCGCAGTTCGCATAGCTTGAATCTACTTTCAGATCTTGAGGCTTAACCGGCCTCCACACGACCCTGGAGCATCACTATGCGTTTAAAATGACCCGTGTTCAGACCATGCGCAACAGAGATGAGGGATGAACAAGGGGACTTCATCTTGGATAAGGTTCGTGAGATCTAGGCAAGCAAAAAATAGGGAAGACGAGTCCTACTTCCTGTTCATTGGTTAACATGAAGTAGCGTATGCACAATTCCATCAGCTTGAGAGAAGGGTGCCTTTTGTAAATGTCAATGTGGCAGACCTGGGTGATGTTGTTGATCTGAGATCGAACGAGACAAAGGATCCTCCATTTAGCCAAAGGCGGTGTCAGATCAGATTAACCAACCCAAGAGAAATGGCCTACGGCCTACGAAGAATACATTCACATGGATAACAAGCCAAACACCAGAGACAACAGCTGGGAATTATCGATTTCAAGGATGCAGGTAATAATTGTATGAGGCAAAGGATGGAATGTTCAAGAAAGAGCCGAAAGGAAATCGCTGCGCAAAGCTCTCATCCATGCATAAGTTCGCTTGTAAAAAGAAGACAAATCAAGACACAAAAAGAATTAATAAAACACATGCTGGTCGAATGATCCTTATATCCACATCCTAAAACGACCACACAGAGAGTTGAATGGTGTAGAAATTGGTGGATTGTTCAGAGTACTCCGGATAGAACGGCTTCGGTGGCTGCATATCTGTTAGCTGTGTCCTTTGCGATACCGACTGAATTGATCACTAACCAGAATTGATGTACGGACGCTTGGCATCCAGGTTGACATCGAACCGCCTTTCAAGCTCCTGCTTGATGGTTTTCTTCGAGACCTTCATCAAGTCTGCAGTTGCCAAGATCTTACGGATCTCGTCAAGGATCTCATCGTCAGGAGGTAGATGGCTGAGATCTTCCATACCAAAGTTGCTCATCATTTCAGATGGGGCGGCTGAGTAACGAGCGCCACCACTTCCAAGTGGCAAGTCGAGTTGGGAGACCGGGCGCGAGCTGGTGTGGTACCCATACTCTGACTGTGGGAAAGGAGGCAGTCTGGTGCCGTAGGAGTGTGCAGAGAATTCAGATCGGTCGTCGCGCGAAGTCTGCGATTCCCATAGCTCGGCTTGATAGTCTTCCCAGATCTTCTTGGGGATGGAGTCGGGATCGAATTTGCCTTCATCGGAAATGATGACCTTGCGACCTTTCTCTCCGGTGATAACGCGAGTATTACCCCAGGAGAAGTCGTCCATGTGCCAGAAGGAGTAAAGTGGTAGAGCAAGGGAGAAAATGGGAATGGCTAGGAGGTAGATCAACATCCAGCCGATCATTTCCCACCTGCGTCTCACGAGGAAGATCAAGGCCTGTAGACCATAGATAACACCAAGAAGAATAAAAGAAGTGATGGGCAGCACATCTGGCTCACTCACACACCAATAGATCAAGTAAGCGATGTAGGCAATTGTGACTGGCTGAATGACGGTCATGAGAAGATCGATGAGCACAATGAATCGCATACTGAAACAGCAGAAACCACATAGCTGGTCCAGCGGAATCAACTCCATCAAGTTGTGCACTGTGGAATTGATCCATCGGCGACGCTGAGAAAGGAAGACAGCAAAGCTTTCCGGTGCAACTGTCCAAGCATGACAACGGAAGATATACTTGGTCTTGAACTTCGGATGATGCTTGATAAGCAGTGTCGTCAAGTAGCGATCTTCACCGAGGTGCAGCAGATTCTTCATGTGCAAAGTATCGACACGGATTTCCGAGTAGGCGTCTACCACGGCCTTACTGACAAAAAGAGGCGTTCCGTGCTCCGCTGTGCGGACACGATACATAGTGAAACAACCAGGCAAGCAAGTAACAGATCCAAACAAACTTTCAAATGCCTTGGTCAAGTTGTGAGAGATGTAGTATTCGTAAACCTGGATCATTGTGACGATGGAGGTCTTCGCGTTAGACAAAGAAGTCTCTCCACAGGCGCCAATAAGGCGCGTGTCAGATAGGAATGCTGAAACAAAGCGTGTTGCAGAGTCAGGCGCCACCATGGTGTCAGCATCGACCTGTAGAATATACTCGTAAAATTGCGGATTGACGCCGATAATGTTCCTGATGTGATGATGCATCTCAAGCTCCATGGGGCTCATGGGTAGGTTGTAGTGAACACGGTTGAGGAAGCGCATAAGAACCATCTGAGAATCACGTTTTCCGCGGTTACCAGGACGGGACACTTCAGAAGGCTTGCCAACTTTCACAACGACCAGGAACGGAACAATGTGGCCCTGGACTTCATAGAGACCAGAGTACAGCTTTGCCATGTTATGTTGCTTCATACCCTCGCCCAGACTCTCGAAGCTTAGCGGTTCAGGATCAACGGATTCGGGGACGCCCAAAATGTCCAGGACAATGCGGGGAGTCGGGCGATCGTTGCCTTGGCCAATAATCATACCATCACAAATGACGAGTAGCAGCTTGCGCTTGTCGTCATAGCGCATGCGAGCCATAGAGTCCATAGCACGACGCAATGACTCTTCGTCCTCGGTATACACTGGGACTTGACAAATTATAAACTTGTCCAAGTTCTCCGGAAGGTTCTTCTTGCCGAATTGCAAAGCAGCTAAAAACTTGAAGCCAATGATGGAAACAAGCATGATGGAAATTGCAAGAATAAAGTATCGCGCAAACTGACAACGAACTGAGTCTCGCGTGTCTACCTTGCCGATGAAGAAAAGGTTGTCAAGGCAAAGTTGCATTCGGGCTCGAAGTGCTGTGTCGAAATTCAGATCCTCCCAATACTGGGTCACATCATCTCCAGCCTTTCCCTGGAATATATCGACAAGCAAAGGGCTCATGTAATCGGTATCAACAGTTCCAGTTGCGTTCTTGCCGGCTGGCCGGCGAGGTACTCGGGGTCCGGCAATGTAATAGGTCATGTCATAGACTTTGCCGTGGATACTCGCAACATTCCTGGATTTGTCGGTCGCCATCTTCTTGATTGCCTTTGAAGTATAACCAACGTAGCCTTTCTTGTAATTCGAGCGCATCATGAGCATTTGCTCATAGAACCAATCGGCTCGGGAGTCATTAGTCCAATACCGGAAGTCGTGGTACTTGGCATTGATATCAAAGGTTGGGGTGGAAGCTGTGACTGCGGAGTCGTTCAAATTTGATCGATAGTCCAATGGTACGCTGGGATCCACTTTCCCATTGACGCCCTGGCATAGGGCCGAGACTTGAACAGGGAACAGGTTGGTTGCGTCAGTGCCTGCATAGGCCTTGAGTGACTTTTGGGGAACGATGTCAGGGAAGTGGGATGGCATGAAACTTCCAAGATTGAAAACTACGCCTCGGATAGCAACGTAAGACTCTTCTGTACCCGCACCATTCTTACTGCTGAGCTCTGCCGTGTTGAAAATAGCCTGGGTTGGACAAACCACTCGAGGGAAACCAACAATCATGAAAACTGCTATAGCACAAGCAAACCAGATGATCATGTTGATAGCGAGCTTTTCACGCCAGGCAGTCCGCACATCCGGTCGCTTCATTCGCCCAACAAACCGGATGACGAAATCGGGGATGAAAAATGTGAGAAGATAGACAAGGAACATCCAACGGCGACGACCTGGAGAAGTCGGAGCCTCGTCGACTTCCTCCATCTTTTTTTCGTTGTTTTTCTCAAGCATCTGCTCTTTGGTGTCGAGATTCTTGAACATATCACCGGAATTGAAGGCAGAACCTCCGGCATCAGATCGTCCATCCAGCTCGCGGCTCCCAAAGTAGCCTTGTTTGGGATCATTTCCATAAATAAAAGCACCTGGAGACTGGTCAGTGGGGTGAAGAAGTCGGAGTTTGGAGTCCGGGTTTCCACCGGCGGGATGGAAACCATCGCCCTCATCACCACCAGCATCTCCATAGGATGGTACCACACGCTCGCCCACTTGGGCGATATCAGCCCAGCATCGTTCACTCAAGAAAACGCCGGTGCTACCGACACGAGCTTCGTTGCCAGGCCATCGCTTTTCGTCGAGAACAACCTCCGACTTTTCTCGGTCGCTTCCCACCACAACATTTCCAATGTCCGCGAGGCCGAGGAACTCTCCGAACGGAAGGAAGACACTGTAATCGGCGTTGCGCAGCCGCGAGCTGATTTCGGCAATGCCGAATGTTTGGACCTGCATCCGCACACACTTGCTGTCGAACTGGTTGGCAATGCGACGGTCATTAGGCTTAAGACAAATGACAAAATAGGGGTTGAGGTTCGAGGAGCTCAGGCATTTGTTCACAATCTCCAGGCCAGAAAGGAACTGGCCGGCCGCTCCCTGGGCCGGTCCGGAAGGCATTCCGTTCTTTCGACCGCTAGCTCGCTTAGACCCTGCGACTTGGCTTTCATTTTCATCGCCTTCTTCACTTTCAGGGTGAGTGCTTGGGGCTGCAAAACGGGACGGGG